ATCCGGATCGGGTATACCCGACCGGATCCCACTAAGGATCCGAATTTATACGGATCCAAAAATAATGGATCCGAACTAGATCCGAACTCGATCCGTAAGCGGATCCGGATCTTTTGCGGAACACTATTTTTGACCCAGGTCAAAATAGAATTTCTCTAAAAATTATATCTTATCGTTATAATTAAAATTCCAAAAAATTTAGAGGTCGGTAAGGTCGGAAGTTAGTTGTGACAAATTTTTTACATTTGTAATTTTATTGGATCCGGATCAATAATTTAAGGTCGGAAGTGATCTTCAGCCCGGGATTTTCTTGACAACAATAAGGGTACCCTCTTTTACATAATTCGTTTATCGATATTGAAAATTATAAGAATTGATTTTAATAATCTCGTGTAGATCTCAGAACTAGCCAATAAGCTAAAATTCTCCTATAAGCTAAGCTCAGCTCCAGGTTGATCGTCTAAAGCGGTGTAGATTCTTGTAATATATATTTTATTGAATTAACTTTAGGGTTAGGGTCATCTTAGGTTATATAAGCAAAATCGCCAGCAAATTCTATAATCTGATTGGCCAGATGTCACATGATTCTGCTCCGCTTTAGACGACCCCCTTATTTGGAGATACGAGATTTCGACGAAGCAAAAAAAGTAAAAAATACGAAACCAATGTCAAAATCCACTTTGGTGCATTAAGAAAAAATGTCGGGAAGATGTTTTTACCTAGTCTAACCCTAACCTTAATGTAATTAAATTTCGTGATCGAGCCTGGCTTTAGCGGTTCACTTTATTTTGGAAAGATGCATCTTTGATAATACTTTTTCTTTATCGTTATAGCAGCAAAATTGTTTCTTTTAAAAATCTCCAACTTTATATATTGATAAAAAATCTTAGACGAATCTAAAAATTTTACAGTTTTTTGTTGTCTCGACGATTTGATTGGTTAATTTATGTAGATCACCCAAATAAGGAAATTTGAAAACCGGTTCGGTAAAATTGAACCTCGATTAGATAGTCGAGCTAAGCATCATTAAATAGAATTGTTGAATTAACTAGAGTCCAAAAAAACATTCAATAATATAAACATTTATAAAATACAATACTGGCTATAACCATTTAATTTAGAGCATTTGAGTGTTGCTAAAAGAAAACCCGAAAATTTAATTATAAGCCATATTTAAAATTTCGGGTTTTCTTTTAGCGACACTCATTTATTAATTTTTGAAATTTATTGATTTAGAATAAACATCTATCTAGATGTTGGTCATTATCTCAATGAGGTAGAAATACACAAATCCAATCTTATACACGTCCACGTCCGCGTCCCCGACCCCTAGCGCCACCACGCTTTGGTTTTGGTTCCGGTTCTTCCTCATCAGAAGAAAATTCGAGATCAAAAACTTTGAGCATCTTGGACCGTGGACCTTCATTTTGATTAAAGATTTTCTTTCGTTTCGGCTTAACCACATCGACTATCTCAACATCACTCTGATCATCTACCTTTTCGTTTTTACCATTCATCTCTTTAATCTCTTCATTCTCATTTTTAGCATTCACATCCTGATTTTGGCCGTTCATTTCATTTTGATTATTTATCTCCTCTAAAACAGGTTGAGCCTTCGAACCAAAGTATTCCATAATCGATTTAGATTCTTGCTCACTCTTTTCTTGTACAGGTTTCGATTTAGCTTTTGGTTTAGTTTCGGTAGTTCTTGGTTTCGTTACTCTTTTTTTTCCTTTTTTTATACCGCCAACTGGTTCGTTCATGTTTTCTTCAAATTCAGCCAAATCTTTCTGTAAATAATAACTTTTTATTAGTTTTCACAATTTAAATTATGTAAATTCAAATAAACGTATTCACACTTACATTCCATTGCTCTTCAAATGCCTTTAAATCATCTTTCCAAAATTCTTTAGGAGGTTTTGCTTCAAGAACTCTCAATTCTTTTTCTTTTTCATTTTTCAATGAGTTAATTCTTTCGGCCTGAAAGACAATTGTTCAAATAAAAACGTCAACATATTAGCTTTTATCTAGCTTTAACACTACATTTATGATTCGGCTTACCTCTTCTTTACTGAAAGCCCATGCAGGCGTCGACATAAGATAATTATAACCACTATCATTTAAATCTTCTTCCGCCTCATCATCATTTGAACTTTCTACACCATGTCTTACAACGGGTCTTTTATGAACTTTGTCAAAACCATTGGCCGCCAGTAATTCTATTATAGCTTTTTTCCTCAGTCCTTCAAACTCGAGTTGATGCTTTATCTTCATATTGATAAACCGAACTTTGTTTGATAACTTAAGACATTCATGTTGAAGTTCAGCTATCAAATAATCTTTTCTCTTAGAATACAGGTCCAACCTAACGTGGTAAAATTCTTGAAGAATATCTTCAGGAGTCTGGTACTTTTTCAGGCGACCCTCTGGATCAAAACAAACCATATTTGAAATAGCAATCGTGGAATTGATCTTAAATTTTTTCGCAAGTTCTTCATCACTAAGGTCAGCAAGCTCTTCCTTTAGTGTAATATGAAATTCTACAGTATAAGCTTTATGTTCTTCGTCAAACTTATTTATAAATCCCATAAACTTGTCGATTAGATCTTTTTTATAATTCTGTGTCCAAGTTCGAACGGGCAATTCTGTAATCTTTATTTCTGTAGGAGAGACTCTTTCAATCACACCGTTATTTGTGTATTTATCTTTATCCAGTGGTTTAATAACACCTCTAAAGCCACGATACCAAGGATGCATTGGTTCTTGTTCTTTACCGTCCATCAAGCGAAGTAGATTTTTAACCAAATCCATCGGATTATAATTTGGAATGTAAGAACTCCATCCTGTTCCAATACCTTCTGATCCATTTACAAGAACCATTGGTATAGTTGGGCAATACCATTCTGGTTCGATCCATTGACCATCATCATTAAGATATTTCAATAAATTATCATCTGCTCTATGATAAATTAACCGTGTGATTGGTTGGAGTGCAGTATTAATGTAACGAGCACTTGCAGCATCTTTTCCACCTTGAGCCCTGCTACCAAATGTACCTCGTGGTTGCAACAAATTTATGTTGTTAGATCCAACAAAATCATAAGCCAAACCAATTATAGTTGATGTAAGACTTTGTTCGCCATGATGATAAGCTGAATGCTCTGAGATGTATCCCGCCAATTGTGCGACCTTAACCTCTTTATTAAGATTTCTCTTAAAACAACCGTACATAACTTTACGCTGACCAGGTTTAAATCCATCGATTACTGAAGGTATTGAACGTGCGTTATCCGCCATGCTGAATAATATTAACTCCTTGTTAATAAAATCAGTTATTGTGATTTCTTCAACATTATGATCCATATAAGTTCCAGGTTGATAAGTCCGTAACCATTCCTTACGAGCATCTGCTTTTTTTTTATTAAATGCCATATCTATTAGTGAACGTTCGTCTTGTTGAAGTTCGCGAAAAGGTTTCATATGAGTAGGTAAATCACTAAAGTATTCTTTCGCATCTCTAGGTTCACTGGTCCCCAACCCCTAAATAATTAGAGATTATATATATGTATTTTTAATCATTTTTAATTCGTAATTTCATTACGAATGATGATATATATTATAAGTATAATTACTTTGTAATACTTTATGGTCCAGCCTTTTCCGTCATTATTTAATGATTTCCACTGCTCATATTCTGGAATTGTATAGAATGAAATTACCTCGTGTGTTCGATTATGAGTGCACTTTAAATAAAGATAAAATAAATAAATTAGTAAATTTATATTTTTGTCAATCAATTTAAAATATAATTTTCATACCTTGACAATGGGCGTAATAAATTCTCGTAAAAAATCCGGAATTTTCAATAAGGAGGGATAAAAGTGATCCAAAAGATTGATAATAAGTCCTTTAATATGACTTCCATCATAATCCTGATCAGTCATAATCATAAGATGGCCATATCGTAGATCTTTTGTTGATGTATACTGTTTATTGTGTTGCAATCCAAGGATTTTCTTGATATTTTGAATTTCTTCATTACTCATTATTGACGAATGTGATGCATCACGAACGTTTAATAATTTTCCACGAAGTGGAAAGACACCAAAGTTTTTACGACCAACAACTGAAATGCCAGCTACGGCAAGAGATTTTGCCGAATCACCTTCTGTAAGAATTAACGTACAGTTCTGTGCGTACTTGCCACCAGCATTACCAGCATCTTCTAATTTTTCGATAGAAAGGACATTGGACCTTTTTGCACCATCTGTTTTCTTTAACTCTCTATCTTGTTTTTGCTTGACTTCTTCAATGATATCCGTGATAATTACAGATTTTAGCACTTTATTTATGAAATTTTCACTAAGGGTGCAAGACGAGCCAAATGATTTCTCTTTTAGACTCATATATTCCTTAGTTTGAGAAGTGAAACTTGGGTTTTCAATTAAGCAATTAATATATATCGATATATGATTTTTAACTTGGAATGGTTTCAATTTGGCATCTTTTTGCTTCTTCTTGACAGTTTCTACTATTCTTGTAACCAGTTGATCAATAACATGGTTGACATGTGTACCACCCTTCGTGGTAGCGATACTATTTACAAAGCTTACTTGCTGAAATTGACCTTCTTGACTTGGAGTGAAACCAACTTCCCAGCGTTCATTAACCTGCTCATGTATTATATCTGGGGATTTCGAAACTGAGTCTTCGGATGGATTTGGAGGCGGTAAATATTTTTGAATATATTCCTTGAAATTCCGAATCTTAAGTCGTTCATCATTCAAAAAAACTTTTACATTCTTAACACAACCAGCCATATCGAATACACGTTTTTTTAATAACGCAACAATGTCATCAGTTAACTCAGTCAAGCCAAACTTTGCAAGATCCGGTTTAAAGGATATCTCAGTATACTCTTCTTTCTTTGAATACGAAGTTACTTTTGGATTTTGTTTGACGCTCATGTTATCCTTGAATGTTTGTCTGTACCTTTTTTTAGCATTTGTGTCAGTTGTCTCCACAGTAAATTCAGTACTAAAGATGTTTGTCAATTTCGCGCCATATCCATTACGACCACCCGTAACCTTCTTTTCATTATCATCATAATTCGATGATGTCAAAAGGTGCCCGAAAATCAATTCAGGAACATAGACTTGTTCTTCCTTATGTATCTCAATAGGTATTCCTTTACCATTGTTATATATTGAAATAAAATTCTGCTCTTGGTCAATCTTGACTTTTATGGTATTCATTGAAGAGTCACGAATCTATTATAAATGAATTAATAACTACTTATAAATATTAATAAAAAATTGCGATAAAACGATAAAACTCGTACCTTATTATCAGCAGCGTTAACCAATATTTCGTCAACGATCTTGTAAAGTCCGGGGACTATAGTCGCATCCTTGTACACCATAGACTCGCTTTCTGAGTCGTAAACCCAAAGTTTTTCGGTTATAGCTTCGACAGACCCAATGTAAGTATCTGGTCGTAATAAAACATGCTCAATTTGCGTTTTCTTTTGATATATTTCTTCAACAGTTTTTCCGCTATGCAAAGCGTCTGTTTGGCTTGAAGAAGCTTCCGGAACGTCAGAAATATCGTTGTCAGAATTTTCATTGTCTAATTGAATTTTCTTCGTTGCTTTCGCTTTTTTTATGGGCTGTTTCTTTGCCTTGGATGGTAATGGGGAATCAGAATCGTTGGCAGAGTCTTCATTGTCTAATTGAATTTTCTTTGTTGTTTTTGTTTTTTTTATCGGCTGTTTCTTTTCCTTGGATGTTGATTGGGAATCAGAATCGTTGACAGAGTCTTCATTGTCTATTTGAGTTTTCTTTGTTGTTTTTGTTTTTCTTATCGGCTGTTTCTTTGCCTTGGTTGTTGATGGGGAATCAGAATCGTTGACAGAATCTTCATTGTCTAATTGAGTTTTCTTTGTTGTTTTTGTGTTTCTTATCGGCTGTTTCTTTGCCTTGGATGTTGGTTGAGACGGGGAATATTCAGAGACATCACTATCAGAATATTCAGAGAAATCACTATCAGACATGTCAGACATTATTGACGAAGTGAGAATTGAATTTTGTTTTTGCTTAGTGGCGTTTTATTTAGATTAACCTCGGGTCTGACGCGTTTCATAGACTAATTTATGTCATATATACTTGTTTTGACGTGTCACCAATACCATCATCACATGATCCTGTCACACTGCTTTTGTCCAAATAGGTCGCGTTTTGTACACTTTTTGTCAAAATACTACTATTAATCTTGCAATTAATCAAATTAATCAAAAGCAATGATCATACGTATACGTAATGGGTTTAATTGTTCTACAAAATTATATCCCATGCAATTGAAATGGTGTTAGGGTAACGGTAATGGTTTATTTACTATATAATACATATCATTAATGATATTTAATTCTTTATTAATTATTAATACATATTTATATTATACATACAGTACTCTAAATTTTTATGTTGGTGTGGTATGGTATTTAACTATTATATACTGTGTTAATTAAACCACAGTATTTATCTCAACTGTTAATAAAAATTAACTTTATCAAGTGATTAACGCCAGTTATGTAGTATTCTTTGCTATACGTATAAATACTGTATTTAACTTTGTTTTAGGCAATTATATGTATTTTTAAACCACAAATGGTATTACTTCGATATAACAAGGCTATTAATATGGTACCCCAAATTTTCAAGTGCTGTATCTAAAATTTATTAATACCGTTTTAAATTTAAGAGCAAAAAAGAACTTGTTCCATGTGCGAAGTGATGATATCATTGTCGCGTAAATTGCATCATATAATTTGATACACCTCGCGAAGTAAATGTTTATTAAAAAAAAAAACTGATTAGTGTTAGTAATTTATCAAATGTAAAAAGTAAAAATAATTAAAATAATTAAATTAGGTTAAAGTTTCTTTATATTATATATCAAAAATAAATATGGTATTTTGAAGGTTAATCAATATAAAAAAAATCTCAATATAAAAAAATGTTATCTTTTGGACTAACGCTTATTAAAGCTCTTGATTTAATTCGTGCTAATTTAAACTGGTTAGACCCAATTTGAATCAAACCTGACCTAAGTTAGACCCGGCCTAAGTTAAATCTGACTCGAGTTAAACCCAACTTGAGTTAGTTCTAATCTGGAGCAAGTTAAACCCAACTCGGATTAGACCGAAGATGCTGGTGAAATTAATTTCAGCCATTTCACCCAATTTCACCCATTTTACCAATTCAACATACACTGCAGCGGTGAAATTATTTACCACCACTCTATATAGTTTAATTCACCAGCATCTTCAGGTCAGACTCAACTCATTAAACTTAGAGATAACAAAATCCTTAGATCTAAGGTCCTAGGACCTGATTTATCCATAATGATAAATACTTAAGTCCTAATTTTAAGATTTAAGCTCATAGGTTGGTTGTAGAAAACCACATTTTTGATACTTCTGCATTTACTTTTTTGATACACCCTAAACGTACCCTAAAATTTCTCTGGCTTTGATATAATTATCACGTGATATATAATATAAAAAGTAAAGAAATTTTAGGACGCTTTAGATACGTACAGTATATCAAAAAAAGTAATTTGTAATTGCCGGTGAAATAAGTGTCACATGATTAATTTTTTGCGACCCTGATTGTCTGGAATAATGCAATAATGTTCTCCAGAAAACAATACTGCATAGCATATTTAGATTATTCGATTAGAACTAAGTTTTGGATCCTTGGTCTTGGACTATACATGTGATCGAAACTATTTCGGCTTATTCAAAACTATATAGTTACAAAATAAGTCATAATAATTGGCTAATACGTAAAAAACAAAATTTAAAAATTATTAACAAAAGATAGATTTAAACTATAATGATTTTTTATTTATCAATCACTTACTAATTAATACATATTTAATAACAAAATGCACTTTTACTAAAACGCACGCACCTATCAGTCAGCCGTATATAGGATAACTTTCTTCTGATTGGTCAATCGCTTTCAATTGTATTTATACAGTTTAAAGTACTTTTTAAGA